AAGGCAATGGTAGTTCTGAGTTGGAATACCCACGAGGAGGGACTAGAGCAGAGCTCACATAGAGATCATCCTCCGCAGCTCCTCTAGAGACATAAGAGTATTCCGATTCTGCCGGAGCTGGAGGACTTGTCCACATCTAAATACACGACAAGGTCTCCCTTTAGCCACAGAGAATGGCATCAATAAGCTTTCATAATCGGACTGGTCCAACTATTATCATATGTTTCCACATATAACTATTTCATAGTCATAGTCTAGGTGCACATGGCATCCGTGGTGATTATGATCATTTGTACCGCTGACTGTCTATTGAACGCGCCTTAATGGGCAAATTGTGTATACAAGCGTCGTAAGTCCCATCAGCAACGGATCACAGAGTCTGTGACACATGGAGAAAACCAGCCAGTCTACAGTCGGAAGGACATGTTCAACTTTATTGCTCACCAATGTACCTTCTACAACACTCAAGTGAATAATCAAGTGAACATGTAAATTGTAGGAACTGCTGCTGGCTGTAGAAATATCTCCAAAATGTTGTACCCACTCTTCATAGAATGCCTCCATCTCCTACCTAACGAGTACTGCCTGCATCACCGCAGCAGCAACCCTCCCAACTTGTCCACGCAAGTCTCCGCGATCCTCCTTTTCCTCCGACTGCATATCATCTGAGAGTACTCCCTCTACACCAACAGGCAACTACCTTACCCTTACCATTATCGGATGTATAGTACTGGTAGAGCTGCTCATCCAACCACTGCAGACCCCGGGCTACTTCAACTGCAGCACCCAAGAGCTCACTCCAAAGGGTTAACAACTGCTCCGAACTCAATCGGCCCAAGGCCCGCTCCAACCGTCCTGTCGTGGATCGATGGGCACTAGGAGGCTCTAAGACAACACAATCATCATCGTCTCGATAGGGTGATGATCATAACATACTCAGGTTTACTGCGCCATCCGTAGTAGTCCCTCCTTCACCACCACGAGCATCTTCAGAACTTGTGACTCCATTAGCCGCAGCTTGACCTGATGGACATGCAACATCCAACTGACATTACGGTGGCTATCGTACTCTCCTGGATGAGTCTAGCTGAACTCAACTGCGCGATTTTCTTAATCAGCCGTCGAGACCTCGTCAACAAATTATCACGCAGATCTGTCTGTATAGTTAAGGAGAAGAGATGACGCCTGATCATGAGAGACGTACGATAACTGAGTTCAAGTAGAGGATGATGATGATGACCAAAGTGGCAGGTTTAGTTCTCTCTTCACCCAAAACCATTCACCTGTTCATAACCTCCAACACTCGCTCTCGCTTTAATCGAGCGGCAAGGTTATCCCGCGCTTCGGAAACGGTGCTCTTGGAGGAATCCAAAACGACTATAACACCAGCACTGCAAACATCAATGAACTCTGACTCGATATTCTGGTCGATGACCTAACAGAAGGATATACACAAATCGATCAGGTGATCGATTATGATCACTTTAATATTATCATCCAGAGACTTCCGTATTCCCCGTACAGCTGCTACTCCTCCCAAGTCATCCTGTAGTAATCGACGTACCTTATGAGAAACAAAATCAACTTATGCACTCAACAATAGCGTTAACTACTACTACTACTACTACTACTACTACTACTACTACTACTACTACTACTACTACTACTACTACTACTTCTACTACTACTACTACTACTACTACTACTACTACTACTACTACTACTACTACTACTACTACTACTACTACTACTACTACTACTACTACTACTACTACTACTACTACTACTACTACTACTACTACTACTATTACTACTACTACTACTACTACTACTACTAC